AGTAATAATAAGTGGAGGGGGGGGAGGAGGAGAAGGAGGAGGAGGAGGACGAGGAGGAGCAAGGCTCCCAACTGAGAGCGGTGACGTAGTACGCGCTTACCAGCAAGGCTCCCAAGAGCGAGCGGTGACGCAACAAGCTCTTACCACCAAGGCTCCCAAGAGCGAAGGGTGCCAAGAGCTCCCCAGAGTCTCGAGACAGCGATAGAGGCATTGAAGAGGGCCCCCGAGAGGGCCTCAGGAGGCCAAAAGCAATGATTTCCCGAAGGTTGTTGCAGGTTTTTCGGGTTCTCTCTTTTTCAGTCCCAGAAGGGCCCCAGACGGCCCAAGAGGCCCCAAAGCTCGTCCCAAGACGGCCCCAGAGGCGCCCCAAAGGGGCCCAATACGATCCAAGAGGGCCCACAGACAGGCCCAAGGCGGCCCAAGAGGCCCCAAAGATCGTCCCAAGACAGCCCCAGAGGCCCCCCAAAGGGGCCGAAAACGGTCCAAGAGGGCCCCCAGACGGCCCAAGAGGGCCCCAGGGCGGCCCAAGAGGGCCCCCCAGACGGCTCCAAGATAGCCCCAAGACGGCCCCAAGAGGCTCCCAAGCGGGCCCGAAGAGGCGGTATGGGGTCTGGGCTGCTTGGGTGCTGGCCCTGGGGCTGGCCTGCTTGGGTGTGGGACTGTGCTGGCCCCAAGAGGGCCCAAGAGTCCCAAAACGGCCCCAAGGGGCTCGCAAGAGACTCCAGAGAGGCGGTGTGGGGACTGGGCTGCTTGGGTGTGGGGACTGGGCTGGCCCCAAGACGGCCCCAGAGTCCCAAAACCTCCCTGAAGAGGGCCCCCGAGAGAGCCTCAGGAGGCCAAAAACATGTTTGTGCCATTTGTTTTTATCCAAGGTTTTTTTAGGTTCTCGCCTGTGCGGGCCCAGAAGGGCCCCAGGCGGCCCAAGAGACCCCAAACATCGTCCCAAGACGGGCCCCAGAAGGACCCGAAATCGGTCCAAGATGTCCCCCAGACGGCATACGAGGGCCCCAAGACGGCCCCAGAGGCCCCAAGTCTGCCCCACGAGAGCACCAAGATGGCCCCAAGAGGCTCCCAAGAGGGCCCGAAGAGGCGGTGTGGGGACTGGGCTGCTTGGGTGTGGGGACTTGGCTGGCCCCAAAACGGCCCAAGAGTCCCAGAACGGCCCCAAGGGGCCCCCAAAAGATTCCCAAGAAGCCCCAGAGACACGAAGGAACACCATGGCTCCCATCAGCGAGCGGTGACGTAACAAGCTCTTGACACCAAGGATCCCCAGAGCGCGGTGACGTACAAAGCTCGTCACACCAAGGCTCCCAAGAGCGAGCGGCAACGTAACAGTCTCTGAACACAGAGGGCGGCGACGTAACAAGCTCTTCACACCAAGGCTCCCAAGAGCGAAGGGTGCCATGAGCCATCTCGGGCCAGTTCCTGAGGCGCTTTTTCCGCTTCCGTGCCGGCCCAGGTGACGGAAAGAGCGAGGTACGAGTGAGAGACGTTTCGTTGGGGACGAAGCCTTTGAAGGGACGGGGCCCGGGGGAGGGGGCAAGGCCTAAGAGAATGGTCTATTGGCAGCGTTCCCTTCCTATTTGTTCGAGTTAAGCGGCTCGCGGGCGGCTCCCATGGCGTATCTTTTTTCGGGCGAACCGGCCAGAGGGCCCCAAAACGGCTTCAGAGGGCCCCAAGACGGCCCCAAGAGAGCTTCAGATGGCCGCCAGACGGTCCAAGAGAGCCTCGAGACGGCTCCAAAGGCCCTCAGTAGAACCCTCGAGAGGGCTTCAGGAGTTCAGAGATAATGATTTCCCTAATGTTTATGCAGGTGTTTCGAGATCTCCCTTTTCAGTCCCAGAAGGGCCCCAGACGGCCCACGAGGCCCCAACGATCGTCACAAGACGGCCCCAGAGCCGCCCCAAAAGGGCCCCAAACGGTCCAAGAGGGCCTCCAGACAGGCCCAAAACGGCCCAAGAGGCCCCAAAGATCGTCCCAAGACGGCCCCAGAGGCCCCTCAAAGGGGCCGAAAACGGTCCAAGAGGCCCCCCAGACGGCCCAAGAGGGCCCCAAGACTGCCCAAGAGGGCCCCCTGACGGCCCCAATAGAGCCCCAACGAGGGCCCAAGAGGTTCCCAAGCGGGACTGAAGAGGCGGTATGGGGTCGGGGCTTCTTGGGTGTAGGGGCCGGGCTGGCCCAGAGAGGGCCCGACAGTTCCAAAACTGTCCAAAAGGGCCCCCAACAGATTCCCAAGATGCCCCAGAGACGCTAAGGAACACCATGGTCCCCCACAGCGAGCGGTGCCGTAACAAGCGCTTGACCCCAGAGCGCGGTGACGTAAACAACTCTCAACACCAAGGCTCCCAAGAGCGAGCGGCAACGTAAAAGTCTCTGAACACCAGGGCTCCCAACAGAGAGAGGTGACGTAACAAGCTCTCACCACCAAGGCTCCCAAGAGCGAAGGGTGCCGTGAGTCATCTCGGGCAAGTTCCTGGTCCGTTCTTTCTGTTCCCGTGCCCAGGTCGAATGGCCTTCGGCCCATCCCGCCACCGTGCCTGGGTTGCGGGTATGAAGCCTATTGGATGTTCGCTAGGTTCTCGTGGGGGGCCTCTCGGGGGCCTCTTGGAGGCAGGTTGGACGCCTCTTGGGAGCCGTTTTGAAGACTCTTGGGGTCTCTTGCCTCGTTTGTGCCTCTTGGGGGCCTCTCGGGGCCTCTTGGGGGCCTCTCAGGGCCTTTTGGGGCCTCCTTGGCGCCTCGTGGGGCCTCTTGGGGTGGAAGGCTTGGATGTTCGGTTCGTGCCGAAATGGCCCGAGGCCGCCATGCGAACCGTGCCACTGGCGCCTTCGGTGGAGCCCCTTATGGGGCCACGATCTTCGTAAGGGGTGTGCCAAAATGGCCCGAGGCCGCCATGCGAACCCTGCCGCTGGCGCCTTCGGCGGAGCTCCCTATGGGGCCACGATCCCCGTGAAGGGGTGTGCCGAAATGGCCCGAGGCCGCCGTGCGAACCCTGCCGCTGGCGCCTTCGGTGGAGCTCCCTATGGGGCCACGATCCTCGTGAGGGGTGTGCCGAAATGGCCCGACGCCGCCATGCGAACCGTGCCACTGGGGCATTCGGTGGAGCTTCCGATGGGGCCACGGTCCTTGTGATGTGGTGTGCCGAAATGGCCCGAGGCCGCCATGCGAACTTTGCGACTGGCGCCTTGGGTGGAGCTCCCCTATGGGGCCACAGTCCTCGTGACGGGTGTGCCGAGTTGGCCCGAGGCCGCCATGCGAACTTTGCCAATGGCGCCATGCGGCCACGATCCTCGTGAGAGGTGTGCCGAAATGGCCCGAGGCCGCCATGCGAACTTTGCTACTGGCGCGTTTGGTGGAGCTCCTATGGGGCCACGATCCTCGTGAAAGGGTGTGCCGAAATGGCCCGAAGCCGCCGCGCGAGCTTTGCTACTGGCGCCTTCGGTGGGGCTCCTATGGGGCCGCGATGCTCGTGAGGGGAGTGCCGAAATGGCCCGAGGCCGCCATGCGAACTTTGCTACTGGCGCGTTCGGTGGAGCTCCTATGGGGCCACGGTCCTCGTGATGGGTGTGCCGAAATGGCCCGAGGCCGCCTCGGTGGAGCTCCTATGGGGCCACGATCCTCGTGAGATGTGCCAATATGAGATGTACAAAAAATGGCTCGGTGCCGCGATCGGTGGTGATGATGGCGATGATGATGATGATGATGATGATGATGATGATGATGATGATGATGATGATGATGATGATGATGATGATGATGATGATGATGATGATGATGATGATGATGATGATGATGATGATGATGATGATGATGATGATGATGATGATGATGATGATGATGATGATGATGATGAGATGATGATGATGATGATGATGGATGATGATGATGATGATGATGATGATGATGATGATGATGATGATGATGATGATGATGATGATGATGATGATGATGATGATGATGATGATGATGATGATGATGATGATGATGATGATGATGATGATGATGATGATGATGATGATGATGATGATGGTGCTGATACCGATGCTGCTGGTGATGGTGATGATGATGACGGTGATGTTGGTTATGCTTAGTATAGTTGCTATTAGGTTGGTGCTGATAACGATGATGGTGATGACGATGATGATGATGACGATGATGCGAGGAGGAGGGAAGGGGGCAGCTGGAGGAGAAAGGAACGCGGGGCGCTGTCTCTTCAAAACGAGGACCCAACACCACTGGATGGTTGGGACATGTTCAGAGTTTCTTAACGACCGTCGGGGGAGCGTCACTCCCGCCGACAACCCCACATCGACCTGCGTCGCGGGCAGCCGCCGCGCGCCGAGTGCGTTCCGACCCCCGTCGCGGCGTGACGACGAGGCGAGGTTGACCCCCGTCGGGTGGGTACCCCCCCACGGTAATTAAGAAACCCCAAGTATGTAGGTTGTGCGATTTTCGGCGACGCTTGTTCCTACCGGGGGGGGCTCGCCCTGCACAACCTCCGAGTCTAACCGTTACCCGACAGCCAGCGAGCGTTCTGCAACGCCCTATGGCGTGCCCTTGGCGCGGTGGCGGATAAGCAACATGGTGGAAGGGGACCGCGCGAGGAACTCGCATGGCAGCCTCCTGCGGGAGGCTTCTTCGACGGGGCAAAAGTCCAGGGCAAAAGTCCGGGGGGGATGGGCATGTGGGGGGACGCATCGGCCCCCAATCGCCCGTTGATCGCCGATAGGGGCCCGATAGCCCCAACCTGCCCAGGAAGGTGCGGATTCACTATCGGAGGTCTATCGCCGACCCATCGGCGATGTATTGCCGATTCCAGGTCGATGCACCCCCCCGTTGTGCCAGTCCCCCCCTACCGCTGCCCCTCGAAAAGGCGGTTCCTCGGATCTGCCTCCGAGGGCCTCCCTGGGGTTGGCCGCGGGCCCCGGGGGAGGCCGAGGTTTCAGGCAACAACAACGCCCGGGCCGAAGAAGCACACGTCGTCCGAGATCTGGGAGCATATGCCTCCTCGTGCGTCCTCCGCCGCCGCCTCCTCCTCCGCCTCCTCCTCCTCCTCCTCCTCCTCCTCCTCCTCCTCCTCCTCCTCCTCCTCCCCTCCACGTCCGCCTCTTCTTCCTCCTCCTCCTCCTCCTCCTCCTCCTCCTCCTCCTCCTCCTCCTCCTCCTCCTCCTCCTCCTCCTCCTCTCCTCCTCCTCCCCTCCACGTCCGCCTCTTCTTCCTCCTCCTCCTCCTCCTCCTCCTCCTCCTCCTCCTTCTCTCCCTCCACGTCCGCCTCCTCTTCCTCCTCCTCCTGCCGCCGTGCGCAGCCCGGCCGCCAGCAGCCCTCGCGCTGGGCACACACGCCGCCCGCGCGGGGCAATCTGCTGTGGCACAGGCTCGCGCCCGCCACAGGCCCTGCACGCCCGCGGGTCCCGCGTGAGCCTGGCGCCGCCAGCCTTGAGTCGGGCCTGTCCCCCTACAGGGGGAATGCCCCAAAATAATCCCAAACTTGTCTTGGGATGTTTTTTGTTATATATATATATATATATATGTATATATATGTATGTATATATATATGATTAGGAAAATATGCTCGGTATATGTTTGACGATCGTTTGTCTATTTTCGGGTTTTCGCCCGGAATCTGCCTGCAGGGGGACATGCCCGACCGAACCCCAGCCCCCTGTACAGCTCGCGCTGCCCTCGTCCTCGGCGGCGCGCCCACCGTGGGGGCAAGGCAGAGGGGGCGGGCCTTCCCGGCCGAAGAGGTCGGAGGAGGAGGAGGAGGAGGAGGAGGAGGAGGAGGAGGAGGAGCAGGGGGAGGAGGAGGAGGAGGAGGAGGAGGAGGAGGAGGAGGAGGAGGAGGAGGAGGAGGCGGAGGAGGAGGAGGAGGAGGAGCGGGGGGCGGGGGGGGGGCTCAGAGGCCGAAGGAGGTCGAAGAAGGTCTCGGGCCGAGGGGGGGGGCGCCTCAGAGGTCGAAGAGGAAGAACTGCAAAAGCACAGCTGCACTCCCTGGAGGCCCGCGCGGGTCTTCAGCAACTTGTCGTGCTTCTGCAGCGCCTTGCTCGTCTGCCGGAGGCCTCCGGCCTTCCGAGAGGCTGTCGAGGCCCGCTTCGAGGGCAGAGACGGCTTCTCAGAAGGCCGGTGGGCTTCTGGGGAGCAAGTTCTACAATCCATCCCAAGGCCCGAGAGACCGACCCACCAATCAAACAGACACGGGGGGCCATCTCAACCCCAGCGCCGACGTGCACGGAACGCCAGTCTGCGACCGAGAAAAGGCTGCAGAAGGTGTCCAAGAAGTCCTCTGCCCAGCATCCCCACGCCGCCTTGGCCCCCCTGAAAGAGGAAGCGAAACCGATGAGGGTAAGGAGGAAAAAAGACACACAGACACAATGAATCGTCGGCTCCCAGGAAGAGATGGGAAAATAGGGGAAGAGGGGGGGGACGACAGAACAACCCAGAACATATACTAAAGGATGGGGAATCCTGTCATCTGTGTGCATTTATTCGTGTGTCCCAGGGCCCCTTCAGAGGGGGATAGGGGCAGCGGTCGGGGGCCACATGCGAACCCTACCCCTACCCCACACGATTTCTGAGGGGGAGGGTGGGGTTCAGAAAAACAAAAAACAAAAAAACACTGACACAATGAATCGTCGATTCCCCAGAAGATATGGGAGAATGTGGGAAGTGGGGGGGACGACAAAGACCCAGAACATATGGGAGCATGTGGGGAATCTTGTGATTTGCGTGTATTCATTTGTGTGTCCCAGGGCCCCTTCATCTTCAAAAATAGTCAGACAATAGTCTGGGGACTATTTCTTGGGCATTTGTTGGCAATTTTCCGGAGTATTGGTTGGGTATGTTTATTTGTGGTCGAAAATCCCTCTGCAGGGGGACAGGCTCGAATTAATCCTACGCAGGGGGTAGACGGGGAGAGAAGAGAAGAGGAGCGAAGCGAAGAGGAGGGTGGTGACGACAGCAACGACAAGGTCTACGCTACTGAGGGGCAGACAGGGGGGGCGGAGGGGGGGAGCGGACGAGAAGCGCGAGAGGTAGTGCGGGCAGCCGGGAGCTGGACGGCGGGAAAGACGATTGGCTTGCATGAGCGCAGTCGTAGGCAAGCGTGAAGACAGCAGGGGCAGGAAGGAGGGAAGGAGGAAGGGAGGGAGGAGAAAGGGGGGGGGATGCGTCCACAAAATGGCCAGCCGTTTTGCTCACGCAAGGGATAGGCGTCGCATCCTCACCTCCTCACCTTCACCACCGACACATGGACAGCATCATCGTCACGGTCGTCACAAGCATCGGCGCCGTAATTGGCTTTGCCGCCGTCATCATTTTTACGATCGCCACCAACATCGCTACTATCGTCATCATCGTCGCCATTGTCAACTTCATCTCGATGCGGCGTCCGCCCGAGTCACCAACCAGCACGGACGCACCAGCTCGCCATCGATGAGCGCGATCGCGGCCGCATCGGTTGAATCACACCAGTTGTCCGCTCGGCGCGCGAGCTTGCGCGCTCTAGCGCAACCGCATGCAGGGATGCGCCAGCCAATGCCAAGTAGACACTGGAATCGCGGCCGCATGGATTTTGCAAAACAAGTTGTAGTTGGAAGAGAAGGAGGATAACGCGAGCTGTAGAGTCGACATTTCATTAGCGAGCATGCGCTGGTCTCCTTTCAGTACACCAGAGAACCAGCCAAAATCTGAGGGTGGCTTGAGAATGAATGATTTGGATATTGAACTCGATAGTGAGGTCGATAATGAGATCGATCGTGGGATCGATAATGAGGACGGTAGTATGGCCGATCGTGGGACCGATAGTGATGTCGATTCAGTGAGATCGGTACTGAGGTCGATCGTGAGATCGCTTGTGTGATCTATACTGAAATCGATTTTGTGAGATCGATAGTGATATCGATTGTGAGATCGATAGTCAGATCGATAGAGAGGTGGGTAATGAGATCGATGGGGGGACCGATCGATAAGGAAATCGACCAGGAACCCAGGAACCGAGAAATCTGGGAACCCCGCCGCCCACCTAAATCGGTCCGGAACCAGCAGCCTGTAACCCGGGAACCCGGAACCGGGAACCCGCGAATTCTGCCGCCTACCGAAATCGGCCGGGCACGTTCGCCAAATGTTTCATGCTCCGCTATTACCCCTTCAGTGCAAGCGCTGATTGGGGAAGAAGAAAGATCGACTCCACCACCCTCCTTCCCGGGGCTTCCATGTGGTGCAGTTCACACATGGCTCTGCCTCGCCGCTACTGTTCCCCATGCGCTCATTCCATCCCAGCCCAAACTGGCACTGACCCCCGTCATCCCTGTTACAGCTACAATGTGCGCCTACGTGGCTATCGCAAAATAGGTTTGTGCCCAAACTTTGCCCAAGCAGTGTTTGCACTTACGGTTTCTTCTTTCTAGTTCCAGGAACTGGCTTGGCGTGTCGGTCTGGCGGCTAATTATGTAGCCGCCGTCACCGCCTCGTCGCCGCCTGTCCGGGCCCGTGTGTCGGTCTGGCGGCTATGTAGCCGCCGTCTCCGCCCCGTCGCCGCCTCGTCGCCGCCCGTCCTCTGGGCGTGTGTGTCAGTGCGGCGGCTAGACAGCCATCGTCGCCGCCCCGTCGCCGCCTCGTCGCCGCCCATCGTCCGGGCCCGCGTGTCGGACTCGCAGCTACGTCGCCGCTGTCGCCGCCCCGTCGCCGCCCTAGATAGCACAACATCGATTGCACCGCATAGACTGGCACATATATGGCACAGAAATAACTGCACCACAGAGATTGCTCCACATAGATTTGCTCTACATAGGTTGCACAACATATATGGCACCGCGTGCGTTGCACCACCTGGATCCTCCTTGCGAAAAAAAAGGAATTCGGACCGACCGCCCTCCCGAGGCTGGACTTATCCGCCCCACCCTGGGGCTGTGAAATTCACATACGAGTATGTGCTTCTGTTTATTCTCAAGATGAGTACATATGATGCCAGCCAAATCGGTATCGAGGCAGCCACCCTCGCACCCGAGCCCGCCGGTGTGGGTGCCGACGTTGGGTGCTTTGGAATCAGGAAAAACGGCGTGAGCAGAAACTTTTGGCGCTCCGCGCGGATTTCTCGTTCTTTGCAGAAACAGCCACTGCGCGCACAGATGTGTTCAAGAACCCCTTGCAAACAAAAGCGGAGCGAAGTGCACACGCGTGCGCAGTCATGAGCGCATCCCGAATTCCTCCAAGAGCCTTGGATGTCGTAAGGATGTCGAAATCGAGAGCCCCGAAAACATTCTCAGCACATGGTTGCGCAACACGAATGTTCAAAACGGCCTGCGCCAGGTATCCTGCGAAGTTTAACGGAAGCCATAGGCTGTTCAACATTCCATCAAATGCCACCGAGCGTGCCCCTCGCGCGCGCATGTCGAAATCATTCGAACGTCTTTGTGCGCTGTCGCCAGAATCCCTTGCAAACCAAAGTGGCGATGTGCACGTGCGCGTGCGCGTCGTCGCGCGTGCATGCCGAAATCTTCCAAAGACCGTAGGTTTCGTACGGGTTTCAAAGTCGAGTGCCCCGAAAACATATGAAAAACCCGTGGCTTCGTATCCGGATTGTTCAAAGAAGCTTGCGCGCGTTTTTGCGAACTCACTAGAAGAATCCATCGGTTTTCAATTTTTCGACCACATACGCCCAAACAAGCCTCTCGCGCGCGCGCGCGCCGAACTCATTGGACGGGTCCTGCGAGGGTGCTTGGGGGGCACGGTTCCTATCACATAGAACCATGCGGGCCACTCGCGCGCATCGACCGTACGCGCATATCGAAATCTTTGCGACACCTTCATTACCGACCCGAGGGCACCATCATGGTCATCGGAGTGATCAGCATCGGTGCCGCCGTTGCCCTTCCCGTCGTCATTGTCATCATCTCCACCAGCCTCGTTGCACTGATATGCCTGTGCGTCAGCGTGGTCTTTCAGACGCTCTGGGGACTTCCCAGCGGTTAGTGCCGCCGCGGCCGCGTCGGTCGCGCCAGACCA